CCCCCTCCCCTCTAGAACCCTCAGTTTGTTTCTCAGAGTCCATAGTCTTTCATGGTTCATCTCCCCCTCCGATTTCCCCCCCTTCATTTTTCCCCTCCTGCTATCTTCTTCTTTTTAACATATAATGTATTATTTGTTTAAAGGGCCGCTGAGATATATAATTCTTGATAAAAAATAAAGCTCTAGCATTGTGTAAATAGCCTGCTTAGTATTGAAGTTTTAACTAATGTATTCTTTTTATTTTTAAATAAACACTAATTAGTTAGAAGAAATGGTCAAAAGATGAGGTAGAATAACTTGTTTTTTCTTACAGCCCAAAATGTTAACAACCAAAATAAATTATTTGGCCTCCAAGTACAGTAGCCTATTCTGCCCCGAAGGGAGATTATATAATTAGACAACTATTTAATTATACAGTTAGGTAAAAATAGCCAACACTTAATATTACGTGATTACATGGTAGGCATTGTTGTTAGTGCCTTATACGTGTAAGCCCCTGGGATCCTCATCTCACCTCTAGGATACAAGTGAAGTTTTCAACCCCATGTTCTAGCCAGAAGGTGAGGGGCAGAGATGAGGCCGCTCACCGCACCTGGCTGTGAAGCAGCAGAGCCAATACTCGAACGCTGGCAGTTTCGCTTTGGTCCACAGTCTTACCTACCGCGCTCTCCTGCTCTACTGCCTCTGATTACGTGATTTTGCAAGAATATAATCAAAAACAAATACTAAAAAGAAGTAAACATTCTCCTTAGGACATATCCTTAAAAACCTGCTTCATTTTGCCAATGAATTTCACAATGCCCATTTCATATGGCTCAGGATAATTTGTCTTTCAGTAGTTACTAAAAAAAAGTACAAAAGCAGGAGGAAAAAAAACCACTTTCAATTCAAACTTTTTCTCAGAGGTGTTTAAACATAAGCAACAACCTCTTTTCTTAACACTCAGAATATATACATTAAAATTTAACAGGATTTCAGATAATGCATACTTACAAATTATTAAAATTTCATGTGGTACAATCCCTTATATAACAAATGAGAGAATTTAAGCCCAGTTCTTATACATAAGAACTGTGTAAAGTAGCAGAGCTGGATGTGCAAACCAAAGCGCAGGTCAAGAGGAGAATAACACTGGAAATGGGCAGTTAGTATGCTTCAGTTGGCATTTCTACTGGATGTAGGCATATTCGCTTGTGCAATCCTTAACGTAAGAATTACGGATTCCCCTTGCTTCCACATCACTTACATTGTATGCATTCAGAGGAAGGAGAATACATAATTTATTTAAGTTAAGATAATAGAAAAGCTAGAGGAGAAACACACACACGTGCGCACACACACAAATCTATAAAGACATCAAAATGACATGGCAATTTCCTCTCAAATTTCTGTCACTCCCACATAGCCAGTCACTTTTTCCTCGGTTAGAATTAAGGCCATAGTGTTGACTCCTTGTTATCTCTCTACTTCCAGAAAAGAAATTACCACCAAGACAAAAGATGAAGCTAAGATTACATAAGACAGATGAGGTCCTCAGTAAAATTATATATTGCCACTACATCAGTTTGGTAAGGGCATAAATGCATTAAAAATTCACAAGAACATTTTTGTAAACATGTCCAATGTTACTTGTAATCTCTGCAGCTTAGAGAATACTGTGAAAATAGTGGGGGTGAGAGTAGACCAGGCCTCAAGCATCCAGGGTGGTCTCTAGAAGCCACAGATTTCCGTAATTACCCCTTCAAAGACCACATGCTTCTTTCGTAACTGGGGCTTACATTCTCATGCTTTAACCCCTATACTAAAAAAGAAACTAAAGAATCTATGAAACTAAAATCAGAGTTTTATCATATTTTACCGTATGTGCCCTATTTTTAGTTTACAACATTACCTTGGTTTAAAGTTTCTACTGTGATTTGAAATACAGAAAAGCAAAAAACAGACAGTATGGTGAAGTAATGGGTTTGATAAATGGACTTTCTGGGAAAAATCAGAATTAACCAAAGTTCTTATTTCAACTCCTGTTAAAAGCCTTTCTGTATTGTAAGAATTCTCTTAAAGCCTAAAGACACTGTTCTTGTATGTAAGTCAGTCAAGAATCTTAAGTACCATCTTTAACATCAGTAATGTAGAATTCATTTAAGAATGAATACTGAGATGAGTAATATTCATGCCCCCAACCTGTGGAAAGTACAAATAGTCTCATCACCTTGCAATGTACCTCTGCCTCAAGAGTGACAGTCATCAAGCAGCTCTAACCTTGTCTCCTTTGTAACTGAAAACACCAAGGTCACATACCAGTTTCCTACACTTCTCACCAAACATGATTATCTACAGCTTCAATCACTGCCACTTTTTGCCAACTCTCTCAGAAAACAAACTCCTGCTCCCCTTTCAAGCTAATCTTTCCACAAATGCTCTTGATCCGAAATCCCAATCCCCTGTATTATCTAGAGCCATCCTCCCTTCTACTGGGTCACTTTCATTTACAAAACCTACTCCAATCAAGTCCTCCATACTTCATCCCCACACACAAAAACCATCTTTTCACTTTTTAACAGTAAATGCTTATTATGGGTTGAACTGTGTCTTCCAAAAAGATATGTTGGAGTCCTAATCCCAGGTACCCGTAAACGTGGCTGGAAACAGCGTCTTTGCAAATGCAATTGGGTTAGGATGGTATTTTTAGGGTAGGCCTCTAATCCATTAGGACTGGTACTCTTATTAGAAGAGAAAACAGAGATACAAGGAGAATGTCATGTAACAAAGGAAAGCAGAGATTGAAATGATACATATACAAGCCAAGGAAGCCAAAGCTTGCTGGCCATCACCACAAGCTAAGACAAAGGCATGGAACAAACTTTCCCCCAGAGTCTTCAGAGAGAGCATGGCCCTGCCAACACCTTGATTTCAGACTTTCAGTGTCTAGTACCCCGTGAGAAAGATAATTACTATAAATACTATAAATTAATTTCTGTTGTTTTAAGCCACCTGGGTTGTGGTACTTTGTTATGGCAGCCCTAGGAAACATACAAAGTCTTTAATTATAGGTGCCTCCCTGTCTGATCACTTTATAACTAAAATCTGAATACTAATACCAAGGGTTGGCAAACTATGCCCATGCCATAATTCTGTAAATAAAGCGTTAATGAAATACAGCCACACTCATCCATTTACTTATCATCTATAACTGCTTTCAATTCTACAACAGCAGATACAAATAGTTGAGACAAAGACTCTATGGCCCACAAAGCCTAAAACATTTACTACCTGGTCCTTTACAGAAAAAGTGTGCTGACCCATAACCTATACGGTGAATAAATGAATAATGACCAAAGCTACTAAATGCAACCAATTTGAAAGTCGAATTAACAAGCATTGTAACACGGATATCTGGAGTTTTATTTGTGCGTGTGTACAATAAATATCTGAAGAACAACACATTAAATATTATAATGCTTGAATAAGTTCAAACTGATGATTACTCTTATTAGATGTATAGCAGCTATCATAGTGATTAATACAAAAGAAGATTTTACCATATGCACAAACTTTTACCCACTTAGTACCCCAAATATACTGTGGATTACTATGACAATTATTGTGATTAGTTACATACAGCTGACCCTTAAACAGGGTTTGAATTGCACAGGTCCACATATATGCAGATTTTTTCCAATACAGTACAGTACTAGATATGCATTTTCTCATGAGTTTTTTTTTCATTTTATCTCATGATTTTCTTAACATTTTCTTTTCTCTCTTCTTATAAGAATACAGTATATAGTACATATAACTTAAAAGATATGTGTTAATTGACTGTTTATGTTATCTTTAAGATTTCGGTCAACAGCAGGGTATTAGTAGTTTAGTTTATGAGGAGTCAGAAGTTAAACCTGGATTTTCAATGTGCAGAGGGTCTCCAACTCTAACCTTCTGTTGTTCAAGGGTCAATTATACATTTCTTACAATGAACCTCTCTGGGCAAAGACTTTTTAATTTCACTGGGAGGAAATCATATGGTTTTTAGGATCTAAAGAAATGCCATCATTCTCATACGATAAATGCAACTTTGTTATGATAATTAACACTTCACTTAACCATCTTGCATATCTGACCATATCTGACTTAGAACACAGCTAAGAAATCAGGGAAGTGGGGGAGTGCAGGAAGGGTTAACAGCTACATCTTCTTGCAAAGTACAAACATGAAGCACATATGTATATATGTATACATATACATGTAAATATATATTTCATATAAATTTATAAATACACTTATGTTTATAAATATATATTTAATTGATACTATAACTTTAATACATAAATATATACAACTCAGAGCCTGTTCCTATTCTACACAATGATATACAATATATAAAGATAATATATATCCTTAATCTGTATAGATATACTGCATAAACATTAACTCAGAGCTTATTTTTTAAAGTTTTTTTTTAATTGAGGTATACCTGACACATAACATTATATTATTTTCAGGTATACAACATAATGATTTTATACTGGCTCTAAATCATACTCAATCGATACAAGTTTCATAGTATAACTATGATGCCAACACAAATTAAAAGTCCCAAATTATAATAAAATTTCTTCCCAAAAGTAGGCTAACCAACTGGAGCAGTGAGAAGTGTTACATGTCACCAGCCTTTGGACAATTCCTAAACATTTTTAAAGCCTTGCTTAAAAGTGAGGTCTCAGGATGGGGTGGGGAGATGGACCTTGATTAGGATACCATCAGCAGGGACCTTGTCAGAAATGTGGAATCCACATTATTTTAACAACATCCTCAGGAGATCTGTATCCACATTCAAATTTGAAACCCCTGGCCCAGAATTATAGTAATTGATTACCACTAAAAGAAAATACTGTCTAGAAGTACTCTTCTCCTTGACAATCATCCAAACCCAAATGAAGGTCCAATTTCACAAAATACAGATGAAAAACTTACAACAATATTCATTTAAAATATGACAATACCTTGAGTACTTGAACTTGACCTTCTGTAGTAATTTCCTTTAGCAGCTCACAAAACGACTGACAGAGACCCACTGCATATGTCTGAAATTCAATCAAAAGTCAAAATATACATATAAATATATTTGCAGTATCAGAACAGGCAAAAATTATATTTGGAACTCATTACAATCTATTTGAAAACTATATACTTAAGGTCTAAGTATATAAAGTTTCAATTAGAACTCTTAGAAAAAGCTTAGAAAATAAAAATACAGTTTACTGCGATACTGATTTTTACAGAAATATAAGGCTGTATTTATTTACAGAGATACTTTCTGTGTTAAGTAACAGTTCATGGAACTGCATCACATCTACCCTACAGTGCTTATAAAGTTTTTTCTCCCCTTAAAGTAACTGACCAATCTTCATTTAAAAGGTACCTCTTGATTTCAAATGAGAGACAATCAAAGTAAGAACTACATAAATTTTTACAATGCAAAAACTAGTACATCATACCTGTAGAAATTCTGTTGATGATAAAAAGATATAACCATTGATGATCTTAAAGCAGGTTCTGAGATTTTCTGAACTTAGTTCTGCCAAAGAATTTATTTTAAAAAGGACAGGTTAATTCAATGTTCAAAATCAGTTTAAATGAAGCACTTTATTTAAAACTAAGTTATATACAGTTCTTTACAAACCTTTTGAGTGCTGTTCAGACTACTGGGATTCAAACAGCTATCTAAGAACTGACATCAACCTATAACTGAGTACTTCCCCATATACCTGGCACTAGTTGAAAGAATTTAGGGAAAAAAATTAAGCTCCCAGGTTTTTTATTCCTTTCAGAAAACAAGCACATAATCATATATACCAAACTTTCATTTCAAACTACGTTTCTAGTGCCAGCATGGTAAACGACAAGGAACTGAATTTTTTTTTTTTTTTTAAGATTTTATTTATTTGACAGAGAGAGACACAGCGAGAGAGGGAACACAAGCAGGGGGAGTGGGGGAGGGAGAAGCAGGCTTCCCGCTGAGCAGGGAGCCTGATGTGGGGCTCGATCCCAGGACCCGAGGCCCATGACCAGAGCCTAAGGCAGACGCTTAACGACTGAGCCACCCAGGTGCCCTGGAACTGAATCATTTTACCATCATATTTTTATAAGTGCTTAAATGGTTCACTCAATAAGCATCTACTGAGTGCTACTGCGCTGGCACTGGATATGATATGCTACTTATGAAAAGAGTCCTATTACACTCCAAAAACTTTCAATACTGTGTTTAGATAATTCTCAATCCTTGGACTCGTCTTCAAATCTGCTCTCCTGTAAGAACTTACACATAAAAAATATTCTTAAAAATGTAACTATCAGGGGTGCCTGGGTGGCTCAGTCGTTAACCGTCTGCCTCTGTCAAATAAATAAATAAAATCTTTAAAAAAAAAAAAAAAAGGAATGAGAATACTAAGTAAATTAACACTATAAAACAGATTTAAAGGATTTTAAAAACAAGCCCTTAGAACTAAGTTATCAGAATTATTTTCAGTGATAGCTTTTGGTTCTACTTTATTTTTTTAATTTTTAAATTTTATTTATTTGACAGACAGCGAGAGCAGGAACACAAGCAGGGGGAGTGGGAGAGGGAGAAGCAGGCTTCCTGCCGAGCAGCGAGCCGATGTGGGGCTCGATCCCAGGATCCTGGGATCATGACCTGAGCCGAAGGCAGACACTTAATGACTGAGCCACCCAGGCGCCCCTTGGTTCTACTTTAAATTCCTCTGGTTCTACTTACATTTAGGAAAAAGGATATAAAATGAATTTTAGCCTTGTATTTATTCACACACTTAACATATCTTAAAAATCATTAACTTAAACATCTAAATAGTATTCAATATTGTTGGTCTTATGTATTTTATTTATTTATAACTTTATTTTTTATTATGTTAATCACCATACATTACATCATTAGTTTTTGATGTAGTGTTCCATGATTCATTGTTTGTGCATAACACCCAGTGCTCCATGCAGTATGTGCCCTCTTGAATACCCATCACCAGGCTAACCCATCCACCCACCCCCCTCCCCTCTAGAACCCTCAGTTTGTTTCTCAGAGTCCATAGTCTCTCATGGTTCGTCTCCCCCTCTGATTTCCCCCCTTCATGAAAATGAGAAAATTCCTGCCAACAGCTTTATTTCTACTTATAAAAAAGTAATAGCTATCATATTCAATAATTTTTAAAAATCATAGATACAATGACAAAGAATATGTTTTCACTGATAAGAAAAGTAAGTATTCATTTTGATCTATAGTCTTCAAAGATTAAAATAAATATTCTGGTTATATTTCAAAATAAATTCTAAAGCTAATATAAAATAATGTATATGCAAAATGTTACATGTAAAAATGAGTTTTGTGATACTCAAGAATATGATACTCAAGAATAAAGGTAACACTGTTGTCAAGGTATACTAAACATGCACAGATATAATGTGTAAACAGAATTTCTTCATTTATCAAAGCAAATATACATACCATAATGCATAAAACAAATTACATACAATGTTTGTTTTCAAAGAGAAAGCAGGAAATAAACTAATTCAGTAGCTTCCATATAATCTATATTCACTGTTACTATCTGTAAAATACAGAATTTTTTAAATTTTTCAATATTAAAAAAGCTTAAATCTAGTATTATCACAAGGATGAAATTTTAGTAGTTCTTGATTTAGTTAAGTAACAAATCCTTCATTGACTGTGGTTGCTTTTTCTTTTAAAATAGCAGTAATATTAACAGTAATAGTAACACATATAATTGCAAAACAAATAATCTTTACTATGTGGCAGACATTTTTTTAAAGATTTATTTACTTTTATTAGAGAGAAAGAAAGAGCATGTGCATGTGTGCGCACCTGTACAAGCAGGGAAAGGACCAGAGGGAGAAGGAGAGTCTCAAGCAGACTCCCCTCTGGGGGTGGAGCCAGATGCGGGGCTCAATCTCACGACCCTCATATCATGACCGAGCCGAAATCAAGAGTCGGATGCTTCACCGACTGAGCCACCCAGGTGCCCCACCAGACACTGTTCTAAATACGTATCTAAATGCATCAACTACAGAGCTTTCTATGGTTAAACTGTACTACAGTGCTTACCTAAATCTACACTCAAAATACTGTCATAAAGTCTTAGTAGGGTTAGTCAATACTTTTTAAGTCTTTTTCCTGTCTACCCACCCTTCTCTTGTTTCACTGTAAAGGTCAGGCATGCTGGATTTGGGGTCAAATAACATAGGCAAAGTGAAATCACTGTATAACGTCACCCATAAGTGAAAATGGCTGAATCCTGTTCATGACAAAGTTGACAATGGCTCTGGTTGAGGTTTCTACTCCTAGGTCAAGTACAAAGAAGCACTGTGGATTACCCAGAATGACACTGTATTTGGTCTCCAAGTTAGGAAGAGTAGAACTAAAAGGCCTTCACCAGAGTTAAAGGAGTGAAAGGACATTTTCCACTTTCTTTCCCTATGGTTTCTTAAAAAAAGATAAAACTTTTTTAGGAGACTAGCAACAAGTGACTGGTCTATTGCCACAGTCTTCATCTTTGGGATTTTTTTCCAACAATTTTATAGGGACACTAGATGATAAATGGCAAGTGGCTCTTTATCAGAAAACAGATGCTTTTTGGTATTATTTGAGATCTATTCTGAAGAATGGGGTAAAATAATAGAAAATAAAGAAAATGTGAAGGACTAATTACATTTTCTACCCACTATGACCATCCAGAAAATGAGATGTTTTCTAATCAGTTATAAGAGTGTTTTAGTCCACATTTGTTGATCTGTGAAAAAGTAAATCTACTTTTCTGGTGTAACATTATACCTCAGTAATATTTTCGTCTAATAAAACTACTCACTACAAATAAATTCCCAGAAAAAAAAGTCTTCAGATATTGCTGTAAATGCCCTCTACCGACAATATTTAGTTAGTAGACACAAAGTTCTAATGAAGGAATTAAAGATGTTTCATGGATCACTCTTGAAGAATGGTTACTATAAATGCAAAACACTGAATTTTTACATTTTTTTTTTTTTAAAGATTTTATTTATTTATTTGAGACAGAGAGAATGAGAGAGACAGCACATGAGAAGGGGGACGGTCAGAGGGAGAAGCAGGCTCCCTGCCGAGCAGGGAGCCCGATGCGGGACTTGATCCCGGGACTCCAGGATCATGACCTGAGCCGAAGGCAGTCGCTTAACCAACTGAGCCACCCAGGCGCCCCTGAATTTTTACATTTTATAAATAAATTATAGTATTCTGCAGACTGAAAAAGAATCATAAAGGCCCATAAACAGCACTGTATACAATCTTTATATTACTCCAAGAGAGTTTAAATGTGAATATTCACTGGTAAAATCCCTCACAAAACAACTCTATAAACAAGTATTATGTTTTTTAAAATGTAAGGTATTACTTATGAATGGTAGGTGACATGTAACAGGAAAGTATTCTCTAGTATTAATTATCATCAGAAAACATGTTCAGATTGGAAAAAAAAACCTAATTAGATCTCATCCAAGGTGGCCTAAGAGACTAAGGCCCCACTCCCAGCCCAGTGTCCAGTTCTCCCATCCCATGTGCCACAAATGATGCTTCTAGAATATTATACTTCATGATTTTGCATCTCTATATGTCAGTAATACTTAAACAATAAATATGATTTGCCAATATTTAATAGTCTTCATGTTGTCGGTACCTTAGCTAAATCAGAAATATGTACAGAGCTCATTTGTGAACAAGTGACAGCATAAAATCATTTTGTAAAGGAAACTGGGTAATACCATGGTATACAGAAGCAGCTTTACAATACAGTCTTTTAAATACCTTATAGAACCTGCTATGAAACATAAAAACTTTACCAGGCAAAGTTCAAACTTAATATGGAATTAATTTTCCAAGAACACTTTTTTGTTTTTAGTTATTTAGTAAATTTAGTGTCTACTCTTTAATAAGCAGAAATGGTTCTAAAAAGTTACATAGGTACATACCTAAAAACTATTAAAACACTATTAAACTTGTTTGTGAATACGAGGGACTTCTGTAAAAATGGAAGGTATAATTTAAAGTCACCTATCAGGCCCCAAATTATCACTGCATTCAAAAACAGTATTGTGTTTTACACTTTCACACATACCAAGAAGTGGGGACATATTCTGAAATATACGAAGCAACTCTGGTGTAACACTTGGGCTGTTTTCCAAAGTCACTAACCTAGGAAGAAAAACAGATGATTAAGTCTCTTTCTATAACCATTAAGCTGTTAACAATACAACTTATTAAAATTGTCCCATCTAAAGAAGAAAGAAAAATGGACAATACACAAAGTTATGTAAGTTATCTTTCTAGGAAAAAAATTACCAAATTTGTCAAAATTTAAAACCCATCTATAAATCATATATTATTATTTCTATATACACAGCAAAAATAGTAAGGGAAGTAACTACATACTAAAATATTTACAATAAAATTATAATGCTAAAGCAAAAGCATGATTATGGTCAAGGAAAGACAAAAATTGCTTTGTTTTTATTTTTCTGTCACATGTTATTCATGTGTCCTTTCAAGAGACACTGGAAATATGAAAGAACCAATGTATAAAAAATAAAATATATATGGGTTGTGGTTTATCAGGGAAGTGTGCAGCTGGTTTACCTCCTCACTCCCCACCCAAGAAGTTAATGGAGAAAAAACATGATTGTCAAAACAGCTGCAAGAAAAGAGGAGGGTATCCTATTCAAAATCTAACGTTCATTATCAAAACTATCCTATTATAAAGAGAAATAAGTCCTTAATCTGGTAAGAGGGTACCTACCAAACACTCGTAGAAAACACACCTAATGACATTTGACACCATTCTCCTGGAAAAACACAATCACACCTCAAAAAATATCCTCTATTTTTTATCTTGTCTACCTTCACATCTATTGAGTATATGTATGGAGGGCTCCTCGCATGATATGCCAAATAAATTAATAAAAGACACAAGGGTGAGAGGAAAAAGTTAAACAGTCTTTATTCACAGAAGATATGACTGATAGAAAAGAGAGGGGGAAAGAAGTACTTTAATCACTAAGAGACTTCAACAAGGTTGCTGAATATATCAATACACTGTATATAAAAATCAGCTCAATTTCTATATATCAAAACAAATACTTAAGATTTAAATATATCTTACTCTAAGAGTCACTGATATAAAAATCCAGCACCATAAAGATGTCAATTCTCTCTGAATTGTTATACAGAATCAAAACTTCATTCAAATCCCCACAGGCTTTTCCCTAGAAATTAGAAAAGCTGAGTTCTAAAATGATTTGGAAGGCAAATGACCAAGAACAAACAAGAAATTTGCCAAGAAAACAAAACATATGGGGGTTGGGGGAGGCACTTCTTTTACCACATATTATGGCTTACTATAAAATCAATGTATTTAATATCGTAAACAGAGTAACATAAGAAACAGACCTGCTCCTTTATGAAAGAGGCAGCTCCCAGGTTAAGAAAAGGTTGGACAATTCAGTCACTGGTGGTGAGCTACTGGGCCTCTACCTCACATGAAATACAGAAATTAATTCCAGTTTTATATGAGAAGGATAACGTCAGGAGAACGTAATTAGAGCTTTAAGTTAAAGAAAGATTAAGGAAAAAGAGATAAATATGACTACATTAAAGTTAACGATTACTGTGTATCAAAAGATGCCTCAAAAAAGTCAAAATGTGGGGCACCTTGGTGGCTCAGCCGTTAAGCATCTGCCTTCAGCTCAGGTCATGATCCCAGGATCCTGGGATCGAGCCCCTCATCGGGCCCCCTGCTCTGTGGGAAGCTTCTCCCTCTCCCACTCCCCCTGCTTGTGTTCCCTCTCTCGCTGTGTCTCTCTCTGTCAAATAAATAAGTAAAATCTTAAAAAAAAAAAAAAAAGTCAAAATGTAAGTCACATACTGGGAGAAGATTGTTTACAATACATATAACTGAAAAGGGAACAGTCCAAAGGAATATAAGAGGTTAATAAAAGACAAATGTAGAGAGCACATGAACCAGCATTCCAAAGAGGATCCATCCAAAAACTGTCAATAAACCGGACTATAAAAAATACAAAAAGATACTGAACTAGTTATCAAGAAAATGTAAAATATAAGCAAAACAAGGTACAATTTTACCCCTACCAGATTAGCAAAATTTCCAAAGTCTGACATAATAGGTATTGGCAAAGCTATGAACAATGAGAACTCTTGCACACTGCTGGCAGGAGGAAGTTAGTCTCATCACTTGGAAAGTAATTATCATCTGAAAAAGTGAAATATGTATATGTGCACATACCTATGACCTAGTGAATAAGGTCTCATACATCTGCATACATTGTCATGTACAAAATGTTCAGTTGCATTATCTGAACATCAACCAAAATGGTGTATATGAATTGTGACATTCATACCCTTAAACTCATCAATATGAATCAATCTTAGAACAGGGAGCAAAAAAAAAATAAGCAAGTTAGTAGACAAGCTATAAAATTTATATGAAGTTAGAATATACGTTTAGAAAGACACACACACACACACACACACACACACGTGATTTTAAAAACATTACAAGAAAGAAAACCAAGGAATGAAAACAAAAAAAAACTGGTACAGTGGGTCATCCCTGAAATCAAAACAGGAGAATTCAACAAACATGCCATAACCATGGGCTTCAAAGACATTCTTACTATCTCATTTCTTAACGAGGGTACAGGAAATGGATTTTCATTTTATGTAAGTTATAAATATTTACAAATAATATGACTTCCCTATTAATCTATGAACTATTTCACAAATTTTATTTATTTATTTATTTATTTTTAAGATTTTACTTATTTATTTGACAGAGAGAGAGCACAAGCAGGGGAAGCAGCAAGCAGAGGGAGAGGGAGAGGCAGGCTTCCCGCTGAGCAGGGAGCCCGATGCGGGGCTCGATCCCAGGACCCTGGGACCATGACCTGAGCTGAAGGCAGATGCTTAACTGATTGAGCCACCCAGGGGCCCCTATTTCACAAATTTTAAATTCCAAAATTGGGAAGAGGAAGGGGGACACAAGAGAAACCAGCCACCCCAGAAATGAAGTACGTGCCACATATACAAGCAATAATATTTTTAGACACTTTAACTCAGATCAACAAGAACAGGATTTGATTCCATTTTTAAAGAATAAAACATAAGATTTTAAAAATTTTATCCTATTCACCTTTACAATAACAATGAAATCAAAAGAAAAGCCACAATCCAGTCACGGTATCTCAGTGAGAAAAAAACTGATGGGCATATTCTAAATCTCAGAAGATGTTTCAAACTCTGTCATTGGATCCAAATTAAAATTCCATATGAATTCTTCCCTCCCAATGTCATTACCTTAGTAAAAAGACATTCAGGTCATTGTCACTCTCACTACCTATGCTCGTTTCCGCAACACAAGCCATAGTATTTTAAAAAGGAAAAAAATCTCGAAAAGTTTAAAGTACTTAAAAATAAGATGACATAGCATTTAACTCCAACTTCAAATGAAGAATTAGAAAGGAAGAAAGAGAGACAAAGTCGAAGCACTTAGGAAAGAGATAAGTTACTATTCTGATGAATAATCAGACAAAGTTATATGTACCAAATCTTTAACTAGAGAAATGTAAATTTTAATGTTACCCTTCCACAAAAAATATAGGAAACATGGAGCATCAGGTAAAAAGACAGGTGTATCAATTCAACAAATAAGTATAAGAGCATGAAAGTTCTTTTGAGGTAAAGCATCTCTGGTTAAGTTAAAATACAAAATATAAAAATTTGAACTGTATATGAAACACAACTAAATTTCAAACAGAAAAGCTAAAATGTAAACACTGAACAAAGACAGTTAAGTCAAATCTAAATAAAGTAAACCATATGATGATATAGCAGATAAAATTTAAATGCAAAATAATTAAAAAGTGAAAAGTTAATCAATGAATACATACATACTACATCACATGATGCTTCATGAAAGTATTTTAAATTTTAAATACTGTGTTTATTAAATATTTTAACAATATACAAAAATACCAAAATTTTGTGCAGTGAATAATCTCTTTTAAAAGTTACAGATCAAGAATGCTAGAAATAGTTTTCTGATGGTGATGGGCAGGCAACTGTAAAGGAGCTTTATATCTTGTCTCTCCACCTATGGTATCATCACGGTTGTATAGTACACAGGATAGTAAGTTTGATTTAAATTCTTAGCTGTGTATTATTTGCACTACTTCAGTTGTATCATGTGCAGTCTCTTGACCAAGCCTATTTTTAAACTCTGTAGAGTATCATTTTATACATATTCCCTGCTACAGAATTTGTATTGCTTAGCTCAGCAAGAGACTGTCTGCATGGAAAGATTAATAGCACTGATTAGCCTTCTAATATTTTGCACTTTTTGAAATGTTTTTTTTTACCTGATTCTATTTAAAAGTTTACGAAATACTGAAATAAAACCATATTGACCAGTTAAAAAAAAAAAAAAAAGAATGCTAGAAATAAAAAGGGACACTGACACAAGAAAACTAGATGGGTATTTTAATAAACCAGTGTCAAAATTAAAAAGTAAAACACTGATTTGAACTATACAACCCACCAGTTAGAAAGAATAAAATCTGCTTCTTTTATATCATCATTACTATTGATATGAATATGCTACAAAAGCAAAGCCTATAGTCATTAAAATTCATATTAATTTTTAAAAAACTGAACAAGTGATATGTTGTATTTACAATGCAGTAAGTCCAGACCTCAATCATATACTTTAGTACCAGCAAAAAATAAATGAGACTGAGTCAAAGGAGACATTAAAAATCCATAATGCTACCACCAAAATAAAAAACAGGACATTATATATCAAGACTTTAGGGAAATAGGCAGTTATAAGCCAAGACAAATTCATAGCTTTACATGTTTTAGCACTTAAGGTAATAAAGTAACAATTTTTTATAGCTTTAAGAAAATATACCCAGCTAAGTGTAGGAAGTAAAAAATCTGAAGGAGAAATAAAGTAATGAAAGGATAGAAACATAGGAAAACTCATAAAATCTAACATGTACTTCTTTCACATTAATAAAAAGAAAAATCTCTAATAAATGTACTTTAGAGGCAAAACAAAAATAAAACTGCAAATAGCAGAGGTAAGGCAAATGTATGTAAGGTTTTTTTTTTTATTAGTATCTTAAGGTATTAAGTACCCAAATTGTAACAGACATGGAAAATCAAAACCCAAGTATGTATAAACTAACAACTAAGAAACAACTTCAGAATATTACCAAACTATGAATGACTCCCCAGCCACTGCCATGAATCCATTTTCAGTTCCCTTTATTACTAAATTTTCAAATCATCCAAAGAGTTACTGTATTATAGAGATCACTCCAGTATGAAAAAAAAAAATCACTTTTAAAAACTGGTAAATTGGTAAAAGAAACATGACACTGATATGAAATCAGTATCACAAAATATGGACTGTCAATCCAACTCATTTATAATTAAAGGAAAAAATAAAATCTGATAAAATACCAGAAAATAGACTTGTATGACATATTAAAAGTAGAATTCACCCTAGCAAGAAAAGTTTATTTCAGGAAATCATTTTTTAAAGAAAGAGGTTTTGGGTTTGTTTTTTTTGTTTTGTTTTGTTTTTTTAAGGTTCTAAATCTCCTAAGTGGATGGCAAAAGGCAATCAAACCAGTTTTTTGGTTTTTGTTTTTGTTTTTAATAATGAAGAGCATATTACAATTAATGGTATACAGCTGATGCTTATTGTTGACCAGTCTCCATTACCCTATGTACTTCCTTTAAAAAGAAAAAAAAAATACTAGCCCTTTATGCAGGTTTGTTCAAATGCAAGGTTTGTTCAAATTCTGCTTAAAAATATTTTATAGTATTACATGTTCATATGAGGAAAGAAGAAAAAAAAATTACCGAACTGAATCTCAGAAGGTAGGTCAAATGACAAAAACTTAAAGTAAGTAGAAAGTGGAAATGATAAATATAAGAGCATTAATAAACAGAAAACAAAAATACAACAAAGAGAATCAAATCCAAAAGCTGGTTCTTTGAGAAGGCTAGTTAACACTGACAAATCTCTAGCATGTTAGATCAAGAGTGGGGGAATAAACTTGACGGGGAAAAAACCCCACATAATCAGTCGGAAGAGTTTTACCTGGTATATATGACCACAAACATCTCTTGCTACTGATTATCCCTAGTAAGTTCAAATTCCCATTCTCCAAGATAATTATTTTACATCTTTTTTCTCCACAAATCCCTCGTATCTTATACATACTTCAACTCCAGCCGTTAACACTACACTGATGGCTACAGTTCACATTTAGTTGAGAAAACGTATCTATTTGATCGAACACCTTCCCATCTCATCCCACTATAATACAAAAATCCATCTTCCTGCCCCCAGTTAAAATGGATGAAGTATCCCTGATGCTATTTAAACAAACAAACAAACAAACAAACAAACAAACCCTACATAGGCTGAATCCCATCCCTTCTTGCCTCCAATTATATCACTCCTGAGGCTCATCCATCCCTCCAGACCCTGCATCCCCCCACACCAGCCAACTGCTGCCCAATTTCTACACTCCTCTTCATAGTAAATGCTCCCGAAGTTGTCAATGCTCACAGTCTGTACTTAAATAATTTCAATTCTAACTTATTCTTACCACTTCACTGAAACCCCTCCTATCATCTCCATGGGCCAAATTTACTTCTTTGTACTCCTCTAACAAGGATAATCAGCAACATTTGACATAGCTGACCACTCTCTCTTTCAGGAAATATTCTCCTCTCTTGGCTTGGTCTTCCTGCTCTATCACTAGACAGCTCTTCTCTGTCACCTCTGATGTGACCTTGGAATCTGGGATTCTGACTGTTCCACACCTGCCCTTTCCTTCCTAGGCAATCTCAATGATTCTCGGGCTTTCAATGTCATATACAAAGTGCTAACCACTTTACAAACACTACCTCATCCCCACAAGAGCCATGTGAGGTAGGAATTATACCTCCTCATTCTACAGATAAGGAAACGGGAGTTTCACAGACAATGATTACACACCTAATGCAGTGGTGTAACTGGGATTGGCACCTACATCTGATTCCGAAGAGGTGTTCTAACTAAGAAAAATATATGAAGAAATGTGTACCCTGGTTCGATCTAAAGAATCTCAGCTACTAAGCAATTTGGCAAAACAAAAACAAAAGCAAAAAAAAGTCACAAGTACTCTAATGATTTCATTTTGTTTACATATAACTAAAAAGACCACTATTAACAGAGCAAGTACTTTTATTATTACCTGCTCATGTAATCCTTAAAAAAATTTATAGACCTTTAATACACACATTAATATACTAAGTCTACTAATATATATACATATATGCTAATATATTGTTAAGTATCTGAGTCTATCTCATTACTATAGCTAATATTTTTAGTTTTTCTAATAGTTAACATCATATAGATACATGTTTACAGAAATGTGCCAGAGACTAATGTTTTAATTTATAATCTAGAGTAGGGATTGGCAAACTGTAGCTCATGAGTCACATTCAACCCACACCCTATTTCTGTAAATGATGTTTTACCGGAGCACAGCCATTTTATATACTATCTATGACTACTCTGGCACGAAAACAGCAGAGGTGAATAGTTAGGATAAGAGAACACATAGCTTGGAAAGCCTAAAATACTTATTGTCTGCTCCTTTACAGAAAAAGTATGCCAATATCTGATCTAGAGTAATCCATCCTGTACAAATACAAATATATGAATATAAAAGGATTCAACACATGCTAATTTGCAATCAAACCATCTAAAGTCATTTAAGTTCAAACAACATAACCCAGAAAATATGAGAAACCCAACTTGTGAATTGAATATCTACCCGTTTTAAAACCGTTCAGGTAGTATTCCGCTATAGATCATTAATTTATAATTTGCACCAATTTCTAAAAATCAAAAAAATGTTCATTCCTAAACATCTAAGAAAATACTAAGGCAGGAAGGAATGAAAGGAGGAAGAGAGAGGAAGAAGAAAGGAAACCAGAAATGTTCACTTTCTCTACAGTTATTTCTGTAATTTTCATTTTTTAATTTCAATAGTTTATATATCAGAATGTTTAAGCCTTTCCTGTATTACAATTGGCCCTACAGAAAATTGCTGCTATGCGTAAGATAAGCTTAGTAAAGCAAAAGGATTTTCTATGTTCTGGCACAGTTCCTTACATAGTGGTCAGTTACTACAGGTCTGTGGTACAGAGCCACCTCAGAAACAGAGTTTTTCCTTTTTACTTTTCAACATGACATACTACTCACTTGGTAAAATAATTAGTCAAGTCAAGACTAAGTAGCCTCAGCATTTGGGGCTGAGGTACAGTATCTCAATACTTACTGGGTAAGGTAGTAAGAGGCTAAAAAATAACTCAACACCCCCCAAAACATCCCATTTAACAGGCTGCAAGTTTTAAGTCATTTTTAGTTTTGAAAATTTATTGCGCTGTCCCCATTTTACATTTCAAATTTGCAAATATTAAATGCAGCCAAGTTCTTACTGAAATTTTCCCTTTGAACTTTGACTACTAAGAGCCTACACTGAGTGATAGCTGCCAAGAACAGATGGAGCTATTACGTTACCCAGTTCAGGGAAAGTGATTTCATGTTTTTGTTTTTGTTTTTTTTTTTAAAGATTTTATTTATTTATTTGAGAGAGAGAATGAGAGAGAGCACATGAGAGGGGGGAGGGCCAGAGGGAGAAGCAGACTCCCTG